TCCATCCATTCTTTTGTGCCGGCCCTCTGATCCAGTTTAAGAACCCATTGTGGTCCTCGAGTCAAAAAGTTTACCCGCCCCTGGGTTAGAGGAACACCCCGCACACTGAAGGGTATTGGGTTTGATTCCTGGTCAAGGGCACATACCTGAGTTTCTGGTTCACTCCCCACCCATTGGGGCACATGCAGGAGGCAACCAGTCAATGTGTCTCTCTCACATCGCCTCTCTCTCTCTCTCCCCCTTCCCTTCCTTCCTCCCTCCCTTCTTCCCTCCCTCCCACTCTCTCCGAAAAGCAATGGGAAAAATATCTTCAGGTGAGGATTAAAATATCTGTATATTCCTTGCTCTCTACTTCTCTATTTTCCTCTTCCCATGGACTAAAATACTGATGACTAACTGAAGAGATTAGGGTAACTCCAGTCAACGGCTACAAGGCAGTAAAGGCAGAATGGCAAGAGAGAAGGAACCTGTGCCTCTGAATCATCATGCAGAGCCCTGGACTTCCACCCTGGATGTGAGGGGGCAAATACCTGCTATTTTGTTTGAGCTACTATATTTTGGGAGCCATTGTATAAGAACATGTACAATGTTCTTATACAAACTGAATAAAACTATATACAATCTGAATCAAACCCATGAAGCTCTCCAATCTCAGGAATATCAGCTTACTTAGGGAGGCATAAACATGATTTCAGCTAGAGTTCTTAGTCATAATCTATCATCATGTTCAAGGCTACTGACCAAGCTGGTTAATGTGGAACTGGCCGATGGTGGGGCCTTACCTTGCCATCCATACGCTCCAGCCACTGGAGCCCCAGGTTTGTGACAATTCTCGGAGTGCTGTCATCCACTGGGAGGATGTCTACTCGGAACTGCTGAGGCGCTGCTGTGATAATCTGGGGGCGGGGGGCAAAAAAACTCATCATTCACAGACATCTGAACTGTCAGGTCTGGAACCCTGAAATCAGTTGACACTTCAGAGAGGGAGCTAAGCCGGTTTCCACCACTTGTCACCCTTTGGCCGGAGACTTAGGGAGAATACTGCCTGCTAAAGGGCACTATACGAAGGAAAGCGAGAAACCAGGGGTGCAGGGCGGGGACTTCACCTGCCATGGAAGCTGACGTTTACACACCTCTGCATGTAGTAAGTTCAACGTTACCCTGAGGTGAAACAATAAGCAAAACATTTTCCTTTCAATAACTCTTGTTAAATCTTTCCTGAGAGGCAGAAGAAAACCATCATTAAAATGTTAATGTCAAAGTCTCCGGGTGGAACTCTGCCAGATGTAGAAAGAGGTTTTCTGGGAAGAGATTTTTCGCCCCCTCCCCCCTTTTTTTCAGTGAGCTTATCCATATGGGGAAAAAGGAAGAAGAAATTAAGAATAAAATATTTGTGTCAATGGGGGAAAAGGGAGACTTATGTAATACTTTAAACAAGAAATAATTTAAATAAAAAAAGAATAAAATATTTGTGGACATAATGAAAAGAAACTTTGGTTTATAATTTCAATCTCCCTTAGACCGATCCACACAACACATAGCGGCACCTCCCTGTTCGAGGGGAAAAGGTAGTTGCCACGCAGGGCAGCAGATGCTGGCTTTTCAACCTTCTACCCCCCTCCTTGTAAGCAATTTCCATTTGTAAAATAACAGGGTCCCTCTGGAGACCTGCAGTGACCTTTTATGTTTATCGGAGAGGTAGCCCTCTTGCTGATTTATCCTGAAATCTTTTTTCTCTTCTGAAGGTCACACTAACTGGGAGCAGCTGCAGTGCAGGAGGGAGAATAAAAGCGATGAGCTCCCAGGGGGGTGATGCGTCGCAGACCCCGCAGTGGCAGCGGAATCCTGACTCTTCCACCCTCTGAGAATGACCTTCTCACAGGCTGTCAGTCTCTAAAGGGTGCAGGAAGACCTTTCTTCCACAAAGGAACCATCCCCATTCGTCACCAAAGTCTGAAAGGGACTGTGCAGGACAGAGCTGACCCTGCTGTAATCCTTGAAGGATGGTAGGGTGTGACGATATAGCTCACTCAAACTGCTTCTGCAGAGTCAGAGACAGACGCCTGTGATGTAGGAGTCCACGCCTACCTTTTATCTGGGTTGCAGTTATTCCCAGCAGAGGATGTGGGACTGCAGGACACCAGGCTAAGAAGGAATGAGTAAAAATAGCAGGAAAGGTAGTGCAGGGGCTGTCTTAATGTTTCTTCCAGATGCTTGGATAGCAGAAGGGAACAATTCTCTCAAAGAAATAAAGCTGAATGGCTGCATGACCTCACGACAAAAGTCTTTGCCTGTTTCACTTGCTGATCCTAAAATGATGACACAGATGATGATGACAGCCACAGTTGATTGGATGTTCTTGTGTGCGGCACTGGGCTAAGTGCTTTACGTACATCACGAAGGTGGTATCATCCCCATTTTATAGATAGGGAAGCTGAGGCTTAGAAAGGTTAAATGACTTGCAAAGTCACTCAGCCAGTTGGTGACAGAGCTAGAATTTAAATCAGTGTCTTTTGGATGAAGATACTGCACTCGCAGCCATTGCTATTCTTCATGAAACTAAGAAACTTTGGCTGACTGAGGGGACATATAAGAGAGCAAGACAATCTAGAACCATATGAAATTAGTAAAAAAAAAAAGGATGAAAGCAAAATGACAGGAAAGGAGAAATAATAACAGAATAATAACAATATCTATCAACTTCTATTGAAAGTGCTCACAATTTGCTAACAGTGTTAACTACTTACTATCAATTATCTCTTTGAAACCTCTTTGAAGCTGATGATTATTATTGTATCCATTTTGCAGATGACAAGAGGAGGCTGACAGGAGCTAAGTGATTTGCTGAAGGCCAACTGATAAGTGACAGAACAAGAACTAAAACAAGGCTATCCTTGGCCTTGAAATGCCATGTTGTGGACAACCTCTGGCATGTTCTGCTATGCC